TTTTTCTATAAATTTTTCCTTTTTTTTTTTTTTTTTTTTTGCTGACACTGCTCTGTCAGGGTTTTTAATGAGATGCCAACTTTTGAGGTGAGACCGGGAGGTGGGAGGATGCCTCGGTACACCTGATATTCGGAGTGAGCCTTTTAAGATGCAGGTTTTCCTCTAATCCACCTCTGTACAGCTCCGCACACTTACTGATGGACTGAGAGAGACTAAAAGATCTGTTATTGGATATATGGTTTCCATATTGATGCCACTTTATATAGGAACTGGGGTCTTGTAGAAATAAAACAGAGGCTTGTCGGACAACGTTGGTGATCAGGCAATAACAGGAACATAACAGGTCAGGGAGGAAGTTGTGAAAACTCATATTGCTCTTTATCCTAAACCCCCCATGAAACCTTGTGGTGGAAGCATCATGCTGTGGGAATTCTGTTCTTCAGCAGGGACAAATCTGAGAGTGTGATCTCACTGAGTTTAGGCTTTAAATCGAGGAAGATTTGTGGGGGTGGGGGGTAAAAATAACCATTCTCTAAATGTGCAAAGCTGGTAGAGACAAACTCCTTGAAGACTTTTAACTGCAAAAGTAGCAAAAAGTGAATCTACAAAGTCTTGACTTGGGGGAGCTGAAAAAACGCACCACTTTTGTTTTAATTTACAATTATGCTCCACTTGGTGCCATTCTGTACCATAACATTTCTCTCATAATACACAATGGGGATTCATCAGAAGGATATGAACACTTTTGCAGACGACTTGCAGCCGGGACACATAAAATCATTTCTAACCGCGTTTTGGTTTTGATTGAAATGTAAACATATTTTGCTCTCATATATTTTTGTTAAAGAAGCAACAGTCGACGTGGGCTGTCGCCTCAGGGAGCGTTTATCTGATTCCAGGTTGCTGAAGGTGAAATCTGTGACAATAAATCAATTCTCTAAAAAATTGGTGAAGCTGTGTGGTTTGAGCTTCAGCCAAGAGAAGTTCTTATTATTATGGGCAAAATGTTTCCCTTGTAGTCCTATAGAAAATAAATATTCCCCCCCCGGTTATGTGTGCAAGTCAATCATCAATCATGTAACAGCGAATATCTCTTCATTTCAGGTTTAAGCTCCTTTCTCAGGAAGAAGGCGAGTACTTCAACGTTCCCGTGGCTCCAGAGGGAGAGGAGGGCAACGAGGAGCTACGGCAGAAATTTGAGGTGTGTGTGTGTGTGTGTGTGTGTGTGTGTGTGTGTGTGTGTGTGTCTGAGTGAGAGCCACTCTGGGAGAGCTGTTAGCAGTTGGCAGGCACACTCGCAGCACCATCCGGTCTGGCACACGGCAGGTCCAGACGTGTTTGTGTGTGTGTGGGTACTGCGGGGGCGGGGGGGCCTGACCAGTAGGTCCATTCATTAACACATTTGGCAGCGATGAGGATCACCCCACTCCGTGATTTTCCCTTTTTCTTCCTCCTTCCTTCTTCTTTTCTCCGTTTGTCACACTGACTGCAAGCTGCAAACAGGAGTCTTCTTCTGAAAGTGTGTTAAGTTGCAGTTTGCAATAACTGCACTGGGGAAAAATACAACATAATAACACTCCTTAAACGTGGGTTGCCTATTTGAATTGTTCCCCTTTATTGTCCTCGTGTTACTTTTTCCTTTCCTCCTGTTGTTTGTTTTTCGTCCTCTGGTTCTAGACTGTCTTGTGCGTTTCTTACCCGTTATCTATTGTTGTCTCCGCTTCTCCTTAAGGTTGCGGTTCTGGGTGGCTGGGATTGGCGGCACACATTAATAAACAAATTAATATCTGTTTATTTAGAGCTTGTGATAGCTCTTGGGAGTGGGGGGGGGAGCTCCCAGGAGGAAAGGAAAGACACAGACAAAGACGGAGAGTTTGAAAGGTCGCGTCATGATCTGATGCATGTTCCCATGTAACCACAGCCACACACTAATAAAGGTTTATGCACACGGATTCGGCATAATGAGAGCTAATTCATAAAAGGTTCCAGTCAAACACTATATAAAGAAATGTTAATGTTATATTATATTTCTGTGAGTGTTGAAAATGTTTGAACCGCTCGGATTAGAACCTCAAGTGGTTCTAATCCAGGCTTTATTCCATACTTTTGTAAACTAATTTTGCTTTCATGTATTAAGACTTTATTGACTGGTTTAGCTTCACAATCTTAACCTATCTTAAAGAAGCTAGCCTGCTTGAATCAGCTGGGAGGAGAAATGAACTTTGGTTAAGTGAGTTTGAGTGAAAGGAGGTGATGAAGGGCGTTTTACGTTTCAGATGTTTTAAAGACAAAATTTGAACCGTTAGACTTTCTGTATTAACTTTGTAAGTAGAAGTCAAACCCGGGACTTTCACACTTCAGGTCAATTCATCTGCATCGTCACTCCAGTTCCTTTTACGTCACTGGATAATCAAAAGATGCTGGACTGGAAGACTTAATTAGCTTCTTAAATTCTGAAGGGTTTGAGTGGAGGTTTGTCTAATGTATTATGAACGCAAGTGTATTGTCAAGCCATTTCTCCATTTGTAATCTTTGTCATTTCAGAGTGCAATAAAACCCTCCGACAAAAGCAAGCGCTTTTAAAATAAATCCTCTTGTGAGTGTCGACGTGTTTGTGAAAAAACTGAACTTTTTAATCTGTTGAGAAACGGAAAACCATAAAGATTACAAACACACACATTCAGGAAAAACTGAAACACACGGTGTGGGAAACAAAAGAATAGAATATTCCTATTTTTCTTCCCCTTTATTATATGTGCAGTTTCTCTATGTATTTCTGTCTTTCTTGTCCATCTAGAGGGCTAAAATCGCAGTGGGCAAAAACACGGAGGGGAAGTCGGCAAACGCAGCCTCCCGGTTCGACTCCAACGGCAACCAAGATCGCATACGGCTGTCCGACTTTAACTTCCTGATGGTGCTGGGCAAGGGCAGCTTTGGCAAGGTGAGAACGACGTGTCCTTGTGCGTTTACCTTGTCTTTGTCCCTTAAACGACTGTTCGACTCCTGACTACCTGTCTGCTGTGTGCTGTGGTTCATGCATTCTTTTGTTTTCACGCAGTTTTAAAATAAAATAAAATGCTGCAATGATAGAAAGGCATTGGTTTCAGCTACTGAGTTCCTGAAGGATATAGCATATGCAAGGCAGCCATCGTGCATATGCAAAACCACTATTTTAACGGTGTGGCGTAGTGACTTGGACTGAGCTCAAACAAGAGATGAGAGGATGAAAAATGTAGACAGAAAAAAAGAGAGTAAGCACAGGTAGATAGAAATGGATGAAGGGAAGGAGGCACAGAGGAGGACATGGCAAGTGGTGAAAGTGATGAAAGGAGAGGGAGACGGCGATGAGATCCGTGGTGACAAGGCTGACATGAATGAATTGAGGGAGAGAGGTAAAAACGTCAGGATGAATGAAAAGCGAGTCGGCAAGATAGGTGTGAGGGGTCCTCGGAGATGGGGAGAGAGAGAGAGGGAGAGGGGAGTGGTGCTGAGACAGAATGAATGGAAATTTGGGAGACAAAAAAAATGGGGAAAATAGGAGGATGCAATGTGAGAGAAAGAAAGAGAGGAAGATTTTGGGAGCCAAAGATGAACGGAGCAGTGGGGTGGAGAAAGACTGAAAGTGACATAAAGAGCACGACAGAGAGAGAGAGAGAAGGGGGGGGGAGACCATTGTCTGTGTCAGACCTGTACAGCAACTGCCTGTTTCCATGGTAACAGGGATTTAAAGCTACACTGATGTGTCACCGCGGAGAGCCTCATTCATTATTGGAGTCGTCATTAGCGGAGTACCTGACTCACATGCTTAAGCACATAAATAAGAATAAAAAATTTAAAAAAAGCACATTCCCGAACGCAGGCGTCTTTCTCTACCGGGAACGAATTCGCCAAATGCAGAAGCGGACGCTCCTGTGACGCTGCGCACTTTAAGGGTTTCTCCAGCGTCTGTGTGGGAGGCGGAGGATGAAACCCTCAGAGCTGTTTTTACGATTTTGTGCTTTGTTTTTTTTACGTGGCCAGATGAGTGTTGTTCTGTTTGAAGTTTAAGCGTAGAACCAAAAAAAGTGTTACCTGCTTTAGTAATAAAATACACACATATTAACAGATTATTCCAATATAGAAATGCATGTATTTGTCAGCCCACTGACAGTAGACAGTCTGCTGCAGACTACCTGTTAGCTTCTTCTTTGATTTTCTTTTTTTTCTTTTTTTTACTATTGAGACAGAGGAAAATAAATGCCAAACGTCTCAGATGTGTTTTATGCAAACACGGAGGATATAAGTAAAGGTGATGTCTGAGAAGAAAACATTAAAGTCGAGCAATGCAGGCTTTTCTTTTGCAGCAGGAAGGCTCACTGGTTTACAGAGATTTGCTATGAATTATACAGAATCTGAGAAGAGGAATAGTGTTGGAAAATCCATGCAGGTTCATATTTGACATCTTTTTATCTCTACCTGAATTTGCGCATAGTGATTCAGGACATGCATCTGTTTGATAGGAGCATTTTAAATGTCTTGTTGTGGAAAACTGAAGTATTTTTGGAAATATGTTTTTGTTTTCATTTCCATCTTCCTCTCTTGACGGGGATAAACGTCATCGTAACACAGTACGACAATTAAGCAGCACACAATCGCATAGATTAAATGAAGCACTGAATTAAAGGCAAAAAGCCTCGAGGATTTTTTTTTTGTCAGCAAATTACATAAAAAATTAGTTTCCATCTTGCTTGTATGTCTGCTGTTCCTATACATGCAGCCATTTAAAAGTCTTTTTCACTGCGTTCTCACAAATCAGCCCTCAATATAATTTCAGTCACACATGTTTGCCATTTTACTAGATTAGACATTACACTGAGAGGATGAGGTGAACACATAAGGTCAGAGTTTTCTTCTTACAAGGTTTCATGCTGCCATGGCAATTCACATTAGTCTGGCAAGGGTGCTGTGCTGGAGAACAACACTGCAGCAGCTGAACTTTTTTAGCACCTGGTGTGATAAAGGACTAATGGCTTCCTACCTTGCTTTCTTTTCATCTAAGGTCACTGACCACAATTTGCTGTCTGCCCTGTGAGTGTCAAACGGTGAGGGAAAGGCTGCAAATGCCAAAGAGACGAGTCTGCATTTCTTTGTTTTGTTTGAATCGGTAGGAAAAAATGCAGGGAAACAAACTGGAAAAGAGGATGAAAACTGTGATTTGCTCCTTTAAAATGTCTGTTTTATGTCAAGTCAGAGTGCATCTCAAGCAACAAGGCAGATTAAAGTGATAATAACATGATAGAGTCATACAGTTACAAAATCATCAGGCGTATTTTAGACAGTTTGGTGCTATAATTTACAGACTTTTTGTTTAATATTTTTCTGTTGCCAGATACTTTTGGCTTCATTTGCATTTTTGTTTGGTTTAGGCAATCATTGTCATTTGATTTAAATGAAAGCTTTTCAATCTCTTGCAAGCTGACGCGACACATTTTCAATGCTTCACACGTTGCACCGAATCACCTTCATTATTCGTGACATAATAAGGTGTCAAAACATTCCTGAGAGATTTTGGTCCATGTTGACGTGACGGAATCACTCAGTTGCTTCAGATCTGCCAGCTGAACATCCAGGATGTTCCACCGTCACAAAGCTATTGATACTGACGTCCTGCTTGACCGTTGTGAAGAACGAGATGATTTTTTTGGATGACTCTGTAGATCACCGGATTACGGCGAGCTCCTAGTCGGATTTAAGAAGCCAGTTTGAACAGTTTGAAATTATTTGAGCTATTGCCTCTTGGCTTGCTGGAAGTGGCCGTCAGCAAATAAATAAACAGGTAAATAATACATCACCGGGTTGCCTCTAAGCATCTAAATTAGTATTTTTCTAAAGCTGCTGCATTATTTTGCTCCTGAAAAGGGCGTTTTCACCTCAGTTTTTTTTTCTTAATTATATGCAGCTCAGTGGATAGAAATGTTGCTGCATATATTATAATAACGATGGCAAAGGCCTTGCGGTTTCATCCAGTGCCTGTCGGAGTGTTGGTTAGTTAATTTCGCCTTGATAGAGTCGCTCTCCAAGGTCATAGGAGAAAACAGGCAGCGTTCGGCGTTGTTTACGTCACACGTCGGCTAATATCCTCTGGGCTGCTTGGCAATTGACCCCGAATAACTTTTCATGAATGAACCGCTTGCACACGCCACAGTCCACACTACTCTCTCAAGACTTTGGAGCCGGATTCACCTTGAGAAACGCACTTCTGCATTCGACTCGGTCCGGTTTGTTGCTCTGTGCTTCGCGTGTTTAGCTTGTTGAAGTGTTTTTATTTCTGATATGCTTCTCCAGTTTCCCCATCATCATTTGTTCTCTCACTCTGAGCGCTTCCTTGCAGTTCTGCGAATGAACTTTGGGCCAGATGGTGTCCTTCGGTGTCGCCGTTTCATTTTTAAAGCGTTCTTTTTTCTTTTTTTTTTTACATATAGTCACACTGCGCCATACGGCGAGTTCATGCACACAAACACACACACATGCAGACACATTTCTTGCTATAGGTCTCCAATAATTTCAATGCTGAAATGTTTTAATCTGCGTCAGCCTTCTGTGCAGAAGTACAAATACACACACTGGCACATCTTTACACACAGTGGATCCATTTGTGCCGCACTTCAAGTAGAATGCCGGTCCCAATAATCTCACTACATTATCATACTTGAATATGTATAAAGCACAGGCACCTAAGATGCTAATTTTCAGCTGTTCAATTTGAAAAATGCGCATTAACCTCTTAATTACATGCTGCATTAAAAAAAATAATAATAAGGCAATCTGCAAAAAACAAGTCAGAATTTTGGTTGTATTTAGAAATGAAATAATTTGATCAATGTTTGTTGTTTGAGGTTATATGCAGGATTAGAAAAATTAGAAAATAACCTGATACATCACAGTTAATTTTATACAGTAAATACTCAAAAGCAGATCAACAAGTTATGTTGATTTGTTACACTTTTTAATTTGAAACCCAAAATTAGTTTTTTCTGAAAATGTAAATCTTACGCAAGAGCAAAAAATAAAAAAATAAAAATAAGAACATCACAATTTAAAGGGAGAGCATTTGAAACTTAGATAAACCAAATCATGAACCACATCGTCCGAGTCATTACCTTTCTTTTTTTTTAACCACACGTTTAAAGTTTGATGGAGTCAGAACCACGAAAGATAAATGTCCAAATCCCAGTGTTTTAAGTGTCTTAAGCCTAGAAACTGATAATAGGCATAGGTTAAGTAGGGCCCATGACATTTAGTTTAAAAAATCCTTCATTTTAAAATTAACTTTTGTCTATAGAAAACACAGTTTAAACAATCACCACCTCTGTGTGTACATGAAGACGTGTAGGCGCAGCGGGAACTGTCCAGCCTTGGACAAAGTGAAGATTTGATTACAAAGCTTCTTTGACTGACTGGTTTCCCAGTCATGATCTTACTCAGGTGTTCCTGGTCTGTATCATTTAAAACAGGAGCAACTATTCCTTTTATTCTCTCGTTTCTTCACATTCGGGTCACGCCACATTTTTCTGACCTACTTCTTTCTTTCTAATCCCACTTTTTTCATACTTCAATCGTCCTTGATCTCGGCTCACCTCTAAAACTGATCTTACTGAAGTTTCTGGGTAAAAAAAAAAAAAAAAAAGTTACAAAATCCTTTTATTCTTCTCATTTTTTCTGTGTGATGTTTCTTTTCTTCTTAGTGTCCTTCCCAGATGTTCTGAAGGGCAAAGAAAATCCCCATGAAGAGATCTCAGAGAAGCACTAAATCTTGGTGACTTTCAGGTTGCTGCAGCTCATGTAAACCAAATTTTATTCTCTCAGACCAAACCCCGTGCAGGAAATACTGACACCTGACAGAATGAAACCTTTAAAGTGCCCAAGGTATGGTAAAATGTCTCAATCGTTAATTTCAGATTGACAAAACAAACATCTGAGATGGAGACGTTCTGCCTTTGGTTTGGACACTTTGACACATTTCACCTGAGTAGATCCTTTATATTAATTTAAGCACATGTGTAATCGGCCCGAAGAAGGGGAATATTTTAATAAAAGAGCCGGACACGGTACTTCTGCTCCAGCGATTATTATTATCCAAGTTAGCTTGCAAACAGTATGTTAGCTAACAACGGAGTTTAACATTCGGAGAGTAAAAAAAAAAATCTCACAAGCTTTCTGAAAGTTAATAAACTTGTTTACATCCTACAGGTGTGTTTATATATACTCATACCTGGAGAAGGGGAATATTTTAATAAAAGAGCCGGACACGGTGCTCCTGCTCCAACGATTATTATTATTATCTAAGCAGGAAGTTCCGGTGCGGTAGACTCCCCCTGCTGGTTGAATCTGACCACTGCATCAGCCAAATCAGACTAGACATTAACATCTTCAGCCCAAACAGGGGGCAGAGCATAAAACCTCTGAACTTCAAAAAGAGTAAATGTACCTCTGAATGGTAAATAACCAAATTTCAATCCATCACACTTGCAGTGAGGCAAAGAAGACTGATTCAGGTTTTTTTTTAATGTGTTTTCAAGAAGTATAATGCACAATTCAAGCTAATATTTAGATTTTGTGACTCGTATTTTGTTACTGTCAGGATTTATCTTTTCATAAAGGAGTTTTGCAGCACAATCTCTGCTCATAAACTTCTCAGTGTGTCAGAAGGTTTCCCCATGGTTTCTCTTTTCCACCTGTGACGTCTCAAAATATCATATTTTTTTTTTCTTCTTTTGTCTCTTAGCTCTTTATATTTCCCCAAAATGGAAACAGTCAAACAATCTATTATGTGGATTCTTTCCATGCCTCCCTGATCACTTTCTCCCTTTCCTCCAATTTTTTATGTATTTTTTTTATTTCTTCTCTCTGGACCCTGAAGTGTGTGGAAAATAGTTTGAGTATTCCGTCTCTTCAACCCCTGCCTTTGTTTCTATCCTCTTCCTCTCTAGGTGATGCTGGCGGAGCGTAAAGGAACGGAGGAACTGTACGCAATAAAGATCCTGAAGAAGGACGTGGTCATCCAGGACGACGACGTCGAGTGCACCATGGTGGAGAAGAGGGTGTTGGCTCTGACCGGGAAGCCTCCGTTCTTAACGCAGCTGCACTCCACCTTCCAGACCATGGTGGGTCGATTGGCTCATTCCTGCCACTGCTCTGTTGACGCCGATGTAAACGTCTCGTATTGCGCGGTGAAATCAGGTCCTAGTATTGTTTAGCCAACGCTACACCTTTACTTTTTAGACACAAATGGCTCCCTCACCATCCAGTTGCCTTAAATGTTTTATATATTCCTCTGTCTGTAAATGTATCATTTTTATTTTACTTCTTGTTGCCATTTCCTGACCTGTGGAAATTAAGAAAACATGAGCCTAACTTGAACAGGATGCTGTCTTGTCCGTCTCATTTTGAGGAATGGCAAAGAGAAATTTGTCATATTTATGCTCCAAATTAACAGCAGTAGATTATATAATAAAATGTTCCTCTCAATGCTCAAAATAAATAAATAAAATCATGTGAATGTAAACACTTTGGTTACATTTATTGAATAGATAATGGGTTCGCCAACAGTAGGGACACCGGTAATCTATCTTGAAAAATATTTGTTGACGCAGATTATAAGAAGCATCAAGGCGCTTGATGTTTAAAGGGGAAAATATGCAGATTCACACACACAGGAGAGGCGCCGATAACGAAACAAAACCAAGCTGCCTTTGTTGATCTCCACACTGTCAGGTTACGTGGGGAACAATTGTGCGAGCAGCATGCTGCTGCAGGGCGCGCAGGGAGCACTGTGGTCTTAACAGCAGCTACCTCGACTGCCTTCACCAGCTCCCAGCTGGAACACACAGCCTGAATTCATGCTCAACTTGTGATGTATAATCCGTATTACACCAAAGATGAGTCAACAGAGGAGTAAATATAGCTTGGTGGTTTCACATGTAGCCCTCAGTGCATGACATTTCATTTCACAAGCCATAAACGCATGCCGTTATTAGTGATGCATCGTCACTTGGTTGAGAGATGCCACAAACTCAGCTGACCTGACGCACACACACACACACACACACACACACACAACTGAGAGTGAATATACTAATCCAGTTCAGCTGTAATTCTGTCAGCAGAAGAGGACTCTGGCCATAAAATTTGGCCTACACTTATCGCACATCAGCAATTATAAAGGACACGCATTCATACGTCGTCGCTGTACATGACTTGTGGTGCAGACATGCAAGTAAATTTTTAATCGGAAGACACACAAGCTCAACATATTGCTTTCAAATGCTCAGTTTGTGAGGCTTATCAGACAGCACAGACCCTAACACACACACACATGTATACACACAAACCCAAACCAAATCCCTCCATGATTTTCTGAAACACTGAACCATATTGGCAATTTCTGTTGATAAGTGAAGACAATAGGTTCTTAAATTGATGTCCCTTCAAGACTGATTGGGTGTACTTACAACGGCCCAGTCGCCTCCTTCTCTCTGTCCCCTTTGTGGCTACTCCTGTCACTTCTAGTGTTGTTTGTTTCGCGTAAGCAGTCTAACCTCTGGGCATACGTTTTTTGGTAATTCACCATTTTCGGTCCTTGTCCTGCTCAATCGTAGCGCTGCATTTGACATTGAGGGCTGTTCGGTACCAGGAGGTAGACGGTTACGAACCGACCCCGGTTAGCATCAAAGGTTTCAAACCTTTTAGTTATGAGGTAAACTGTGGTGTTCCACATGGCTCAGTTTTAGTTTGTTGTTCTTTTAGATGCTTTGGGAAAATTATAAGGCGGCATGGTGAAAATCTCCACAGTTATGCAGATGATATTCTGCTGTGTTTCCTGGCGACTCAAGGCCTTTACATGCTCCTTTAGCTCTATCTAGATGTCTGCCATCGATATCAACACAATGCTAAAATATTTTCTATATCTAAATCAGGAAAAGCAGAGGCATTGGACCGATGCTCTTGCAAAAATACACTCACGGCTTCTGATTTATTTTATTCCTTCTGGTCTCAGTTCTTGTGTTCTTAGTCGTTGGTTTAATGTGAACCACCTGTAGAAAAATGTTGTGCTCTCTCATGTGCCGTACCATATGATGATGTCACACCGCAGCTGATTTCTTTGGTTTTGATTTTATTTGCTACAAGATTGTTTTATAAACATGGATGGGTTTATATATATATATATATATATATATATATATATATATGCACTCTAAACTGTATTTTGGTGTTCTTTTTATAAAATCTTAATTATTTGTACACACTTTTTATATCAGAATTATTTCACGTCACCTTTTTTTTTGAGAATTCGGATGAAGAATAACTCCTTCCTGTTTCCCTTACTGACCCTTCTCTCTTCACCCGCCCTTCTGTTTCTCTCCGTAGGACCGCTTGTATTTCGTCATGGAGTACATAAACGGCGGAGACCTCATGTATCAGATACAGCAGGCTGGCAAGTTCAAAGAGCCCCATGCTGTGTGAGTACCCAGAACACACACCTCATTTCTGCCACCAGTGTAGAAATCTCAGTCCTCAGCAGATACTGTAGACGTTCCACAGCTCAGTGATGCTGTTTTTCTCTCGGTAAAGAAGCCACCAGCTTGGGGTTAATTAGTTTTATAGTCTGCATCTGAGAGAACTAGGTGTGCGGTACAAGACGCGTCTTCTTCTGGGTACGCTTTCTGCTCCGGGGAGTGTCCGTGAGTGGAATAGCATGCTCACAAAAGAACAAAGCTACTCAACACGTGTGCAAATATCCCACAAGTCTGCGATGAGCGCCGTCCCCCAAACACCAGCGCGAACGAACTGAGGCTTGTCTTTGTAATCTTTTGGTCTTTTATTACGTCTAATGCGTTGTCACCTCTGATTAGTCCTTGAAACATCTCATCATCGTCACAGTGAAAGAAAGATTTAACCTGTGAAGCTTCACAAAACATAACGCCACCAACACTGTGCTGCTCAGTAGAAACATTGTTTATTTGTGTCATTAAAGTAGCAGAAAATTAATAAGAATCCTCCAAGCTATTCTTGCTTTTTCATCCTCATTTCAAATCCAAATAAACAGACATCAAGTTGCCTCTCCTGGTTCTAACCTGCCTGCCCACCTTCACATTGTCTTCTTGTATATTTCTTGTATAAACCAACCCGTCCAAACATGGCTGCCTGCGTGGTCAGTCCTGTTAAAGGCCCTTCCTGTTGATCTTATCAGCTGTTCTTTGGCCTTCACGAGACAGCTCTGACCTTTATGCAGAGTAGACGCACGCAAATTAACTCCCCTGTTTACCCGCCGTCTCTCAACCTCGCTGTAATTGGTGCTGCCGTTTGTCTCTTCCTGCGTTTCTTTTGCAGGTTCTACGCTGCTGAGATAGCCATTGGCTTATTTTTCCTGCACCAAAAGGGCATCATCTACAGGTAACATCCACAATGAACCAAACGAATAAAGTGCAAAGGTAGCAAATGGAGCAAAATTATGCTAAAAATAAAGGTAGCAACTCCCATAAATATCAGCCTACCTAGTTGTTGGAAAGCAGAAGGAGTAAATGTATTTTATCCACCTGATTCATATAAAACCTCTCAGAAAAACAAGATGATCTCAATAATTCACTTTATCTGTCAGTAGTTGTATGCTTTAGCAAAGTGGAGTGTGTTTAAAAAAAAAGTCACATTTCCTTTTAAATTTGCCAGTATGTGTACATTGTTCAGCTGGATTGTGGGAAGGGTTAGAAAAGTTTAAAACAACAGATAGAAGTTGAGAATGGTGAGTTTGCAAGTAATGTTCAACAGTACACACATCACATTATCTTAGTCTTTATTTTTTTCATTTAGCATCTACTTAAAAAGCAGCTTTTGAGAGTTGAACTACTCTAAACCTATATGCCGTTCCTGACATAGTTCTGAAAAGTACAAATCACATATTTACTCGATCAGACCAGCTGTAGCTAACAGAAAACCGCAGACGGTAACGAAATTCAATTTCTTTACTGATGTAGGGATCTGAAGCTGGATAATGTAATGCTGGACTGCGAAGGCCACATTAAGATTGCAGACTTCGGTATGTGTAAAGAAAATATGCTTGACGGAGTCACAACCAAGACCTTCTGTGGAACACCAGACTACATCGCTCCTGAGGTACTACGTCCGTGTGTGTGTGTGTGTGTGTGCATGCGTGCGCGGCGCTCACAAGATTCGTTCATCAGGAAAACTCAAATTCAAACAATTTGGTCAAAGTTGGAGAACATGTTTGTTTTAAAACCTGGCTATTTGCTCCGTGTTGTTGATTATTACAGCTGTTCTTGTTTAATTTCAGATTATTGCCTATCAGCCTTATGGGAAATCTGTGGACTGGTGGGCTTTTGGAGTATTGCTTTACGAAATGTTGGCTGGACAGGTTGGTCTGCAGCTTTATGAAAACTAGAATGTTTTGTTTTTATTGAAAAGAAAAAGATATTACATTGTCAGCATTATTTATTTGCTCTACCAAGGCTGCTGATACCTGCCTGAAAAATGTATTTTATGAATTAGTTTGTAAGGTATTCAAATATTTCATAATTGAAGGTCTTTAACCCCCCATTATTACTAGCATCATGTGTGTATTTATACGTATGAAAGTCAGATAAAGGGATGCATGGCATTACACTGAAAAACCTTTTAAACTGATCGAATTTGTTCAGTTTTTGAGAATTTTTTTTTAAAAACATTCAAAAATTAATAAAAAAAATAATAATTATTGTGTTTAGCAAACCTTCTGTCTGTCCTGTGTTACATTTCTCCTTTTCCTCCTCAACTCTTCCCTCTCTTCTGCAGCCTCCATTCGATGGTGAGGATGAGGACGAGTTGTTTCAATCCATAATGGAGCATCACGTCTCCTATCCCAAATCGATGTCTAAGGAAGCTGTCGCCATATGTAAAGGAGTGAGTATTCACACACACACACACACACACACACACACATACAAGCAAGCCTGCTCTATCAAATGCACACAGAGTAAAAGGGGGGTCTTCAGTTAATTTAGAAAGAAAAGGGAGTAAGGGGGAAAAACAGAACAGAAAACATGAAAATCTCCTTCATAATTGCTGCATGCATCGACTACTGTGATCAGATAGCTTAAGTGTGTGTGGTTTGCTCAGCCTTTACCAAAACGATTCCTCTGCTCTGACAACTCCCAGCTGCGCTGGACCTGGTGTGTGTCGGCGTGTGTGTGTGTGTGTGTGTGGGGGGGGTAGGCTGATTACTACAACAAATGGAGTCGGCCCTCTCTATTAAACCTCTGTCTCATCTGCTGCCTCTAAGCTTCACTGACCACAGCAGACTACACACACACACACACACACACACACACACAGTACACCGTATCGGCTGACGGATGGATGGTAACGTATGTTTGGTCTTTCTTATTCCGATCATGTTGTCTCTCTCCAGCAGCTTCGCTCATGTTCTGGATCTAAGAAAGCTTAACAAAAATCCAGAAAAGATATTCAAATATTAAACCTTATCTCGCATGAAATAGGCGTCATTGATTCAAAAGAAGTCATATGTTTTTATTTTAGCCTTTTTTTTTTCTTTTTTTTTTTTAAGTCAAACTACGCTGAACTGCACTTATTCTGGCCCGATACTAGTCATACTCCCTCTTCCTAAATTTAAAGGCAAAGTCATTCATCAGCAAATTAATGGAAACAGTGGCCTCTTAGATACACACACACACTCACAGCCTGTCAGTGACACACAGGCTGTATGTTATGTATTAGTTATGATTACAGTGTTGTAGCGCTATGACAGTGAGTCTTCGGTGGAGCGTGAAAGCTCGCCCGTGTCCACCCCCGCCCGGATCCCTCTGCTCCCTGCCGGCGCTGCCTGGGTTAAGTCATTTTGTGTCTGTGCATTTGACTGGATGAGGCCTGGCCTTTTAAACGCTACAAGTAATTTCCATTAGAGAAAAAGTAGAGCCGACTGCGCACAGAAAGCGAATGCAGAGACAGACATTATGTCGGCCAGAAACAGTGGCCAGTTCTGTTGATCCTAACTTTGCCGGATTTTTTTTTTTCCTTTAAGAACTTATAAATGAAACATTTAGAATATTTAAGGTCAGTATGGACAATTATATTTGTTGAAAATCATGCGTACTGTGGATTATAAGGTGGCGCTGGTTTTAGATTTCTTTTTTAATTTTAAAAATAAAAACAAACCTGTAGATTGACATCCCTTTAAATCTCTGTCGATGTCTCTCAATTTTTGCAGTGCAGTTTGTAAAAAGTTGAAAAAGTTTTACAGACTTTAGTGCTACATATCTGTTTTACTACTACTTTGACTGTAGATTTAATAAGTTACTTCAATTATTATCTCCTCTATTTTAATTGTCCTCTTTAAAACGTGTGAGATAAACAGTTGAGAGAGCAACTTACAAGTTGAAAGCGCTGACTTCTTTTGTTGCATGTTTCACAACGGCCTGGGATGACTCTGCCGTGGATCGTGTCGTACGTCTTCATTCGCTGTGACATTAACATCGGACATAGGTGACGCTAACAATGTTCGCGCAGCAGCTCCAGCACAAATGGGCCAGTGAAAGTTAAGCAGCGCCCCCGTTGACAGACGTGTTCTTTGTACAACACGAACAACTGCAGATGAATTACAGTTCATAAATAATTGATTCGGTGGAAGGAGATGGCGAAGGAACAATGAGACGGAGAGGGAAAAGGTCACCGATCCACCAGGCCGGAGCGCCGGCGGAGAAAAGGTGGCGTGATGCACGCATCAAACCAAACCATGCTTCACTCTCTCGTGTCCGTTTCTGTGCAGCTGATGACGAAGCATCCGGCCAAACGACTGGGCTGCGGTCCGGAGGGCGAGCGGGACATCCGAGAGCACAGCTTCTTCCGCTACATGGACTGGGAGAAGCTGGAGAACAAGGAAGTGCAGCCGCCGTTCAAACCCAGAGCTGTAAGTCTGTCGCACAGATCAAACACAAGACGTGCAAAAGACACTCATCAGCTTAAGCAGAGAGCAAAACGCTCCTCCTGCCGGATCTCTCCTCTTGTCTTCCTTTACTTTCACATCGCGTCTTTATCTGTTGCTGCCTGTAGCTTTACACTCTATCTCTCCTATGTGGCAAGTTGTGCACAGGTAAGTCTGAACATAATGGGGGCTGCTGAAGGATGTGTGGCTGGGATGGGTATAACGACGGTGGTGATGATAACACCTCCGGGGCTGTACCGTGCATGCACAGGATCGGTGCTTTGCAGTTTGCGGTGCAGATGTGCTCTGCATGAGCTCAGAGGGGGTTTTTGTTTTTCGCTTTGGAATAAACCTCCAGGGAGTAGGTGCACGTCCTTAAAGTTTCTGCAAAAAGAAAAAGAAAAGTCTTGAAAATAACTCTGTGTGTTTCTTCTTATTCTTTTTTTTCCCTTTTTCTCTGACAAGATGGGTTTGATCATAACTGTAGTCAGAATGATGTCACCTAATGCTCACAAACACACACACACACACACACAATACATACGGACGCTCTCACAGCCTTGGGCCCTTCTGCTGCTTAAGAGTTTCTTTTTTTAATTTCTCTGAGTTGAGCTTTTTATGCATCTTTCTCTGCCTGCAGGGTTTTTTTTATGTTTTATTTTTTCGGTGGACTATGTGCTTGATCACTAATGCGGCTGCGTGTAAGCATGCATGCGTGTGCATGTGGGGTTGGTTTTTTTTAAAAGTAGAGGTCATCCCGAGGACCTGGCTGTTGTAACACAGGCGGATCTACAGTAAATTCCTGTTGTGCGAGTGCAGACAGAAGCTGTCTGATCTCTTTTCTGTCTGTATCTGTCTCCTCTTTCTGTTGGATCTCGTCTTTCAGACACCTATCGTCTCCCAGGCCTTTGCCTCGTCTCACACTCCTCCTCTCTTTTTATCTTTTCTATTAATAAGAACAAACGGCGTTAGTCTTTTCTGGACACTTTCGGCAGAGGTTCTTTGATCCTTTTACGGCGGCCTATTTCAGTGAGGGGAGTTTGTTTTTGATTTGTGTTATTTTTGATAACGTGAATTACTTTCTTTTGCTTAAAAAAAAAAACACAAAATAACCTGCCCTATCATGTTGTTTATTAGGGATATTTGATGCTGATCAAAAACTGTTTTTGGTTTTTAAAATGCTGTTGATGCCTTTGGAGAATCTGCTTGATGCGAAGGCACGTTAACTTGTGAACGTGTGAAGGACTCGCACACCGAGAAAACAGACCGGCTGAACGGCTGGTTCATGCATTTACCCAGCACATAAACATGTTCACGCCGTCACTCTGAAGTTTCATTTGAAGGCATCGCTGTGCGACCGTCTCCATTCATCTGTCCTCTCAGCAATCGATTGTCAGCTCATTTCTCCTCCATCGCCTCTCTGTCTGTTCACATCTGCCACGCATAAACCCATCAGCTTCATCTCATCTGCACATTTTATTTGTCCTCTCAGTGTTCCAAAGTTGTCTGGGTATTTTTATGTTTTATTTGCATGCTCTGAGGTTCTGTCTCAAATTTAAACCTGCCATGGAGTGCACTAGAAAAAAAAAAAAGTCGCTTGAAACCGTGTCAAATTTTTTTCCAGAAACATCTGACCATATGTAGTGTGGATTAGAGACCCGCTTGCTTAAAAAACACTAACTAGCCTGATAGATTTTTCTCTTATCGAAGCATTTTAATCTAAAGTAACTCTGCTGCATGCCTCAGCTTGTTCGCTATTACAAAGTCTCAATCAGGTGTGGATTAGTTAACGGTACCAAAGTATATCAAGGATTTGAAAGGTTTCTATCATATTGTTCAGACAGATTATAAATACCATGACCTACTGTATTCAAAGAGCAGCAATGGTTATTCATACAGCTGCTAGAATGATGATTTTTTTTTGTAATTACACTACGAGATTTGCTAACATTACAAATTAGCAAGTGCTACAGCTTATGATACTCATCCCTGTCAAATAAACTAGTAAAAAGAATAATCTTTTTAAATATTAGATGGAGTAAACACTTGCTAAATTACTTTTCAGTTTAATTATTTTTGCTGCTCTTCTTACAGAGAAACTACAGATCATAACAAGCTAGTTTAACAAAAATGTTGTATGTTTAGCTCGTTAGCTAGTCTGGCTACTTGCTCAAGTAGCAGGCCTGCAGTCCGCTGCTTGACTAACATGCTGTTTGTAGCTTAAAATGCTAGTTTTAAAACTCTGTTATGTCCACAACAGTGTAGGGCGTTTAGGTGAGAGCGAATCTGTTTCAGACAGCAGCGTGTGATGGTGATTTTTAGCAATTTTGGCACCGTTAATTCATCCAGATGCTTCTAAACTCCCATTCCAATTTTGATTCTCAGTTTGTAAATTGTCCCAAATCTCACAGCAGTCAGTTAAATTTCATCCGGAGTTGGATTTAATAACTTCCCAGTTGTCCTGTGGGCGACGTTGTCAGAGAATACAGGATCATTGGTGTGTTAATTAAAGCTTTGCGTAACGATGGAGATGGGAGGAAACAAGTCCCTGTGAAGCACTTTCATGGGGAAAACTAGGTTTTAGAGCTAGCGACTAAAGGGCTTCCCCCTGAGAAGGGAAGCCCTTCTCAGGGGTAAGCTTCCCTTTTTATGTGCGCGCTGGTCGTAATTTTTTCTCCCAAAACTGCTTCACCAAGAAGGGAGAGAATTGTAAAATCTGAAATTCTCGCTGAAAGGAAATCACGAATGTTAATCTATTCAGTTACAAATTATTATTTATGAAACCAAAAAAACAAACAAAAAAAAATGCAGGAATTTAAGTTGGATAAAGTGGTCGTTTGCATCTGAGCTGATTTAGTTTATCTCAGCAGGTCTCAACAGCTGCAACATCTAATTAACCTGCAATTAACACACAATTATTCAAATAATTATCTCGTAGCTCTGAGGCTGTTCATGTGTAAATAGAAAACCAATTCTAGCTCCAGCAGTAATGAAACAAGACTGAAAGTAGTGTTTTGGACACCAAGTTTTTTTAACTTTGCATCACACGCTCATGGTTTCTGGTTTATTGTAGTGCACTGCTCCAGGATGTTTGAGACGGGGTTTTTTCTGTTCGAAATTTGAGAATACGCTTCAAATATTTGAAAAAGGAAAGCAAAAGTGAGGTGCGCTTCAGTTGTTGTCTCCCACTCGGGGGAGGGAAACAAAATCGAGCGCGCCGCAGTTACTTTGCTTGTTCTGATATTTGAAACCATTTCCAAGTGATGTTCATCTCACACCTTGGTTCCATCCCCTTTTCTTTTTGTTTTTCCTCTCCTTCTACCCTCACCCGCTCCATCCATTCCTGTCCATCCCCGCTCTTCCTCTTCCCAATCCATCCCCTCTCCCGCCCTCCTTGACAGTGCGGACGGGAGGCCGAGAACTTTGACCGCTTTTTCACGCGCCACCCGCCGGTGCTGACCCCCCCTGACGAGGAGGTGATTCAGAACTTGGACCAGGACGAGTTCCAGGGATTCTCCTTTATCAACCCGGAGTTCCCAGCGAGCGCTGCTACCGCCGCCACTGCTGAGCAGGCTTGATTTCAGCTCCACGCACCGGAACACGGACTCGCACGCAGAAAACTCCACGGCACACACACACACACACACACACACAGATTCACATGCTATCAATGGACACGGTGATGCTTCGAGCACAGATTTGTTGTTCAGACTTCCACATCTTATGTTTACCCCAATCTGAGGTTCAAAACATAACTGCATGAACTGTAGCGCTCTGGAAGTACAAAAAGCATAGTTAGAATAACTACAGTGTCTTGCAAAAGAGTTGGTAAACCTTTTTCATGTTAAACGAATTTTAGATGTATTATATTTGGATTTCTAGACGATAAATATATGATATACGAGGGAAATGATCATTAAATAACATTTTTCTTAATAGAAATCTGAAATCTGTGACATGCATTTCCATTAAATCCTATTATATCTGTAAATAAAATCTGCCGAGACACGGCTGTCCAGCGAAGTGGGCCAGGCAAAGAGAGCAAACCAATGGTAACTCTGGAGGAGCTGCAGGGATTCATAGCTCATGAGAAAGAGTCCGATTGACAGGTCAGCTTTTCATCAAGTTGGGTAAGAAGAAACCCATTTGGAAAATGAAAAAAAAAAAAAAAAAAAAACACAGAAGTCACCTTTAAAGTTTCCATAAGTCATACGAGCGAAAGCCAACATGTGGAAGAAAGTATTTTTGGTTTGAGGAATCGAAATTTAAAAGTTGAAAGCTGATGCACAGATGCTCTGAAAGAACTTTTCTGGTGGAAAAATTAGCAGAAATCTCAAAGCTCAGGATCTCAAATCTCAGACATCTCAAAGCTGAAAGTATGACTACAGATTTCATTTAAAAACAATATTAACTTTTCATTTTTTCGAGCTCTGAACATACGCTCTATAGTTTTGGTTGGTTCCTAATAAGATACCTTTACCTTCTTAGTCGTTACTGGGACTTTGCAAGATACTGCAGGTATATTCTTTATGCTTTTGCTGTCCGGTTTTTGCTACAGCAAACAAACAAAAAAAAAAAGTATGCCATCAGTGTATTAACCAATGTATTATAAGGATATGCATGACACAGTGAAAACTTTTATAGATGAAGCATGGAAATCTGATTCACCCCAAGTTTTTCAGAATCATTGTTAGCTTGTGTTTATTGCAATGTGAACAAAGATTTGTGTTTTAATAATTATCAGCGCATAACCAAAACAAGGACGGAAAAATTATTGGACGGTTAAATTGAAATGTCAATTTAAACAGTTTAAAACGATTATACCACATACAAATAATTTAACTGACAATCAAATAGGGATTAAAAATTACTTCTTACTACCATTTATATATATATATATATATATATATATATATATATATACACACACACCAGTAAACTTTTGGCTAATAAAGGCCAAGTATTGAAAACAAATGCAGATTTTCTGTGTGAACAAGCTCTGACCTTTTGAGATTTTTACTTTATTCCTTGGGGGGTCGAAACATGAACATTTTAGTTAGATATGTGCATTATAATGAGTATATACCTGTATGAGTGTCTGTATGTTTATCCTTATCTAAAACTGGAATGCTTCACATACTTGCATGGTTTCTGTATTTGGAGTTTCTCTAGACTTTTGTTCCTACCCGTTCTGCTGTAAGTCATTTTACAGAACCTTGTTTTACCCAGACAAGCCGCCACGTGTACAGAGTCACACTTGCACCACAGATATCTGATTCTTAGTGCATGTTATTGCTTTCCATCCATTGGATCCGTACGTCGAAAGGCAGTTGGGAACTTAAGTGTTACTGGAAGGCTTGAAGTAGTTCATTGTCTAGATAACGCTCTTTCTTCTACTCGGATCGGACGTGTTGTTAAGTATTTAACCTGGAAACGAGCCTTTTTATGTTTACGGTACAAATGCATGATTCCTATACCTGGACATCTGTTTACAACGTGTGTGTGTGTGTGTGTGTGTGTGTGGGCATGTGGGTTTCGTCAAGTGTGTATGATGCTTGTATGCAGAAGTTTTGAGTTGTTTTTTTTTTTCTTAACACGGACAGCTTCACCTGTCCTCGCTTACGTTTTCCCGTCTGCGGAGCGTCAGCACGGCCACTTCGTCCTCATATCAGTTCAGCTTCTTTTGAAGTAATTAGTCAGAAGCCAATCTGTTGCCAGAAATTGTTGCGGAACAGTTTTTAACAACCAAGTGATCTTCACTTTTTTTTTTTTTTTTTTTTTTCCCAAAAAAAAAATTTTCCAAAAAATCCGAAAATGTGAGGAAAGGAAAGTTTGGATTCATTTTTGTATTTTCCAGATGTAAACAACATTGAGTTAAAAGGTGATAAAACTGTGAATTTAAAAAAAAAATAAATAAATTACACAGCACATTTTTAACTGTTTTTATATGATGCATTACTCATTAAGGTTGGAATCGCATCCTATTGATTGACCCTAAAAACAAAAGCTGTTCTCTGTGTCAGATTGCGTTTTTGCAGCTTCTCCTCTCAAATGGCATGAAAATTTGTTTAATTGAAGAATATTATCTTTGCTCCACTTTACTTTTAAATAATTGCTTAAAATATGCAGAAAACATAATTCCAAGTACCTCAATAAACTGCTCAGCAGGTGAGGCAGCTAAGTATTGATCATGTTGGTTTGCATACATGAGACAAATGGAGAAAAAAAGAACATAAATCATAGTTGCAAAGTCATTTATTGCAAGGATTTTAAGAACATAAATTGTATGTTACTTCCTCTGTTTGGCTAAAATTTCCGTCTTCCGTCATTCCCAGATTATAATCCCAATTTCTGAGACAAACTGAACACAGTCCTGTATAATTTAAAAGTTTGCATGTCTACATTTACTCAGACTGATTGAGCATGTTTCACTGTACAGAATAAGTGAGCTTTTCTGCATTCATAGTAATTTACTTTTGTCTTCTTCGGATCAGATACGGGTTTTGAGTGAAATCTGGTGCAGGTTTGCGTACGACTGCAATAGATCCACCTTCGTTCAGGTCCCTCGTTGGTCCATAAAGCTAATTTATAAATACTGCAACCCGTGACACACGATTCTCTCCGTCAACCAGGAAACACACCATGCCTCTCTTTGGCATTGTAACATCTCCCGTAATACGGCGTTCTCTTTTTAAATGTCGTTTGGTCTTACAAAGATCTTGTTTGTGCAATCAGTGAAACTTTTTTTTTTTTTTTATGCTTTGCAAGGTAAGAATCTTGATGTTTAAGGTACCATTAAAGTAAGAGCTACAAATATCAAGAGCAGTGGGAAAAGTCTGGATTTACATCTTTTCATGTGTTGAATATAATTACGAATCTCAGAATATTTATCTTCTGTATTTTACCGCCAAATTCAGTCTAAATTTGTGTTCATCGCCTGTGCTCTCGCTTTTTTCATTTATTTATTTTATTTTTTTCATTTCCTGCTGAATTTCAACACGACAAATATAAAGATATGTTATGCACCAATATATTACTATGTCAAATATCTTTATATGCTTATAATTACACATGTGGTCAGTATTGTAAAAGATTGGTGGGGGGTTTTTCTACCCATCCTTTTTGTTCAAAAGACAACGATAAAACAAACTGTGCATGAAAAAAAACAATTCTTATCATTTAGAATTTACTCAAATATTATTACGATCCATGTTTTCTATAATAGCAGTACTCCAAAGCTTTGATCTAAACTTATGTGTTTTGTGTGTGAAGATTCATATAATGGAGTGTGCTTTTTACAATGCTTTCCATGTGCCAAATTTCCATTTTGTTCTTCTTCTTTTTTAAACTCTTTGGGGTATTCCTAGAATAGCAGACGTTCCATAAATAAAGAATTCAAAATCCGTGCTTTTCAAGTTTGCTTTGTACATTTTTATTGTCCTTCAGTGTGTATCTGTTGGGTGAGTGTTGACTTTTTTATTATTATTATTATTATTATTATTATTCTGCATCCCTCACTGCTGTAGCTTTAACTCATTACACGGCCTGTTGTTGCCACTGGGAAACAAGCTTGATGTGTTTGTAAAAGAGAATGGAGAATGGATAGACTTAAAGAAAAATAATCCAAGAGGTAGAGATTGGGGTGAGAGAAAGGGGTGATCTTTGACCAACCTGAGGGCTTGCGGGGGAGGGGGAGGGAGTACGTTTGTAAAAGAGGAGGGAGATTCACTAATGAATGACTGGAAACGAGGGAGGAAAGCGGTACGAGGACAAGATGGAGGGAACGGACGGGAATGCAAAGCAACGCTCTGCGAAACGAGTCAGGCAGCTAGGGCAGGCTGTGCATATTTCATGGCTGCCACTTATCATAAGAGCCTTTCCATGATGGGGGGAGCGTAGGTCTGATGACTTCAAGGAAATAACATGCAGAACACGGCCTACATACACACAACCTCGCTAAGCCACTCAAGCTTCTCCTCGCCGGCTCTAAAGCTGCCCTCAATCCAACGTACGAGCCGCTACGCCGCTGCTCTGACTGGCTGCACCGTTCCCCCTTTTTTTTTTTAATAATTGTACCGCGCACCGTTTACTTCCCGCAGCACATTATAGTGTTAACAAGCATGGACACAAATTACATGCGCTGATTTTTGACTAGGCTGTTGTAAAAAGAAACAGGGAGGCTAAAATCTGCAGTGCTGCCACTGCGGTGTTTACAAGACTGGCAAAGGCGAGCGAGGAGTAAAAGTCGTTCATTTGAAGATAAAAAGGGTGCTAATTTGGTTGAAAATGTGTGGCAAGCAAGGTTTGGACGCCATTAAGTTACGGTTCCTGTCTGATTTGTTTAACAATAAGAACATTTTGTTCTCATACAGGGACGTTTTTCTAGAAACCTGCATGTTTAACATTTTTTTTTTTTGTTTGTTTTTTTTACCAAATTTAGGAGCTAAAATGTCAAACTGATCCAGAATTGGTCCAATTTTGTCTAAAGTTGACACAACAAATTTTGCAGCTCTGGTCGGTATTTTCTTTGGATCTTCTGTCTCTGTAGCAGCCAAGTGGGTGATGGTAACGCTCCGGTGGTGTCTAACGTTTCTTACTGACAATTTGGAAAATTGGTAAGAAAAAAGTGATGGTGTTATTTGGTGTAGGACAACTTTAAACTGTGGACATCTCACACCTCTGTTTTTCGGTTTCTGTCTGTGAACGCACCACATTTTACTAAACGTGTGATCAGCTGGTTCCTCCATGGTAAAAAAAAAAAGATTCTAACACATCAGGAAGTTATTTTATGGAGAATCAGCTTCATCTCAGATGGATAATATAGAGGTCCATATTCTGTTTTATGTGTCCTTTATTTAATCGTTCTGTTTTTTCTTTTCTTAAGAAGCTAATCATCCCCTTCCCACATAAAAAAAAACTTCCATACATTTTCCATATGGTAACTTGATTCATGCACGTTGATTGAATCTGTGATGTTTCATAAAAAAATTATCTGGTTCTGTCTGGTAAGCTGAAGCATTATGAATTTTATTGATGATTGAAACAAAGTGAAAAGTTTCTTGCATTAAAAATAGTGTTTTGTTTTTTTGTCTGAAATGATGGACGGTTCACCTTTGGTTAATGGTTTGACATTTAAGAAAATACCACGGCTTGTTGTTGCTCATAGTCAAAGCAGAAGATAAATTCCTCTGTGAATTAAATAAGAAGATGGAAGCAGCAAAGGGCTCATCGATTATAAAAGCTGAAAACAAATGTGAACGGCTTATCGTGTTTTAATAAAATTCTTCTACTTGCTCTGTTTAAGCTTGTAAAAAAGATGCAACATTTGCAGAAGATTTGTTTTGTGGAGACTATGTCCCTGATCTGACACATTCCACTACAATGATGCACATTTTGAACAAGCTATTTTACAAGTGTCCCAGCATTATTAATAATCCAATGTGTTACTCGCTCATCATTGCAACATGTCTTATATTCAGTATATTATGGCTATTTAGACTTGGGTCACTATAATATTCTGATTCTGATGGCATACCAGTTTTGAGTGAAAGCACCATAGTGTCATGATATGGGAACAAATGCTACTAACACCATTAATATCTAACACTAATATTGACTGCATTACTTTTCAGCATAATTTTGTTGTTTACACACATATACAGAGATCAAATTAAACTATTGCTTACAAAGTTAGCATATCCTTCATTGTAGCTTGTTAGCTTTAGACTGGAAAGCATAATTATCACATGTTAGCTAGTCTGCCAGCTGGGTAGGTTTCTGATAGATATGTTGGCAAATGATTGTTTTAAGATGGAGCTGCACTGAACACAACAACGCCTGGTACTTCCAGAGACTTTAACTCGTTAATATCATCTCCTTTTTGGTGTTCAAGTTGTGTCTCTAGTGGCAACTGGACCGTAGCTCACATGAAGCAGTGCAGAAAAGAAGTGGTCAAGGAAAAGCACATTGGCAAGACATGGCGTCTGTTTTCATTTTAGGCATGACATGCCACAGTTTCAGCATCCAGCCACAGTGTTGGGAGCATCGGTCCTTCTTATTAATATGAAATACAAAGTCAATGTGACTATGAAACGTGGCTTAAATGTAGTAGTAAAGAACGCCTTACTCTTGAACACAGCACAGAACCCACAATTTCTAGCTACATACTAGCATCTGTATTTCATCCAGAGTCTTCTGCAACAGTAAATTCCAGCACATAAGCTGCATAAAGTTTGCGTTGGGTTGGATGTAATATTCGGCGTGCACTGCGAGGCGCAGAGCTGCTGTAGTGTGTGATAATTAATTCCAAATGTTGCGGCCCCCAAATTAAAGCCAGTGGCTTCAGCACAAAGCGGCAGCCGCTTATCAGCCCAAAACAGGTCAGCGTTCGATACCGCCTTTTTTTATCCGCCCTCCTCTCCTTCCCACTTCACCTCCCTTCTCCTCGGTCCCTCCCACTCTCTCCCCGCATCCTCGGCGGACGACGTCTCCCGCTAATCCTCTCGTCACGTAAAAGACGTGGACTGGCGGAGGGAGAAAGCGAGGTGGAGGGAGGAAAGTAGAGACTGGCAGTTCCTCCATTAGAGCCGCTGCTTCCAAAAAGCATGGCGACGTGAAAGCTACTTGTGTTTATTAACCGCCTTGCTGCTGTTTACTCTCAGTTTTCTATCTGTGCATCGACACCGAAGGCCTCTGATATTCATCTCACCATCTGTCCGATGCTGATTTAGTTTTTTTTTTTCTCTCTCTCTCTGTGCCTCGCAGCGATAACTGCAACTGCAGCAGGCTGAAATGGAGCACATTATGATCTGGTCTGCATTGCTGGCAGCTGTATGTACTAATATGTGCATGCATGGTTGATATATGAACGTGCAAATGGTCTTCTTGGGAAATTTAGTGGAGACGTACTGAGTACCAAGCTCACCCATCAGATAATCAACAGCTTTAGCTGCTACCATGAGGAATGAGTGCCGACTAGTCCATGCAGCACTTGCCCCCCCCTCCACTGTTCAACAATTATCAAACCTGTGCAGACATCCAGCCACAAATATACAAAAAGTTATTTAAAATATCTGTGGTAGTGTAGAGTCGACAGGGTAACTGTTGAAACATACGATGGTTTCTGTCAGCATGTTGCTCCACGTCGAAAGGACCAGGTCCGCTCGCTGCTGCATGAAAGAGGGAGAAACTAATTAGAAATGAAGCCCAGCTGTGTTAATTAGTTTCTGTTGGCGTCGTTCCCTAAAGTGTTGCCCCCCCTCATGTCTCCCTATAGCTGAACAAAACACGGCGAATGTTCTGTCAGGATTGATCTCCAGATTCTTCTTTAATTGCTTCCTGGATTTACAAGCACGCCTGGACGTTCACATCACCTCCGTCCGCTTACTGTCAAATTGGTCCACAAAGTGCCTTTAGAGACCGACCAGAACGAAGGAGATCGTAGCCAGTGATCCAATCCGCCCTCAGGGTTGCTGAATGGCCAACAGTGGCCAACTCGTCTTTCACATCTTCAGGAATTGGAAAGTTCTTTTAGAGTGGTTCACTTCTTCCTCAAGGAGGCGAGCACGTGCTTTAATATCTAGATTGAGCACTGAAATAAAAANCGAGGGAAATGATCATTAAATAACATTTTTCTTAATAGAAATCTGAAATCTGTGACATGCATTTCCATTAAATCCTATTATATCTGTAAATAAAATCTGCCGAGACACGGCTGTCCAGCGAAGTGGGCCAGGCAAAGAGAGCAAACCAATGGTAACTCTGGAGGAGCTGCAGGGATTCATAGCTCATGAGAAAGAGTCCGATTGACAGGTCAGCTTTTCATCAAGTTGGGTAAGAAGAAACCCATTTGGAAAATGAAAAAAAAAAAAAAAAAAAAACACAGAAGTCACCTTTAAAGTTTCCATAAGTCATACGAGCGAAAGCCAACATGTGGAAGAAAGTATTTTTGGTTTGAGGAATCGAAATTTAAAAGTTGAAAGCTGATGCACAGATGCTCTGAAAGAACTTTTCTGGTGGAAAAATTAGCAGAAATCTCAAAGCTCAGGATCTCAAATCTCAGACATCTCAAAGCTGAAAGTATGACTACAGATTTCATTTAAAAACAATATTAACTTTTCATTTTTTCGAGCTCTGAACATACGCTCTATAGTTTTGGTTGGTTCCTAATAAGATACCTTTACCTTCTTAGTCGTTACTGGGACTTTGCAAGATACTGCAGGTATATTCTTTATGCTTTTGCTGTCCGGTTTTTGCTACAGCAAACAAACAAAAAAAAAAAGTATGCCATCAGTGTATTAACCAATGTATTATAAGGATATGCATGACACAGTGAAAACTTTTATAGATGAAGCATGGAAATCTGATTCACCCCAAGTTTTTCAGAATCATTGTTAGCTTGTGTTTATTGCAATGTGAACAAAGATTTGTGTTTTAATAATTATCAGCGCATAACCAAAACAAGGACGGAAAAATTATTGGACGGTTAAATTGAAATGTCAATTTAAACAGTTTAAAACGATTATACCACATACAAATAATTTAACTGACAATCAAATAGGGATTAAAAATTACTTCTTACTACCATTTATATATATATATATATATATATATATATATATATATACACACACACCAGTAAACTTTTGGCTAATAAAGGCCAAGTATTGAAAACAAATGCAGATTTTCTGTGTGAACAAGCTCTGACCTTTTGAGATTTTTACTTTATTCCTTGGGGGGTCGAAACATGAACATTTTAGTTAGATATGTGCATTATAATGAGTATATACCTGTATGAGTGTCTGTATGTTTATCCTTATCTAAAACTGGAATGCTTCACATACTTGCATGGTTTCTGTATTTGGAGTTTCTCTAGACTTTTGTTCCTACCCGTTCTGCTGTAAGTCATTTTACAGAACCTTGTTTTACCCAGACAAGCCGCCACGTGTACAGAGTCACACTTGCACCACAGATATCTGATTCTTAGTGCATGTTATTGCTTTCCATCCATTGGATCCGTACGTCGAAAGGCAGTTGGGAACTTAAGTGTTACTGGAAGGCTTGAAGTAGTTCATTGTCTAGATAACGCTCTTTCTTCTACTCGGATCGGACGTGTTGTTAAGTATTTAACCTGGAAACGAGCCTTTTTATGTTTACGGTACAAATGCATGATTCCTATACCTGGACATCTGTTTACAACGTGTGTGTGTGTGTGTGTGTGTGTGTGGGCATGTGGGTTTCGTCAAGTGTGTATGATGCTTGTATGCAGAAGTTTTGAGTTGTTTTTTTTTTTCTTAACACGGACAGCTTCACCTGTCCTCGCTTACGTTTTCCCGTCTGCGGAGCGTCAGCACGGCCACTTCGTCCTCATATCAGTTCAGCTTCTTTTGAAGTAATTAGTCAGAAGCCAATCTGTTGCCAGAAATTGTTGCGGAACAGTTTTTAACAACCAAGTGATCTTCACTTTTTTTTTTTTTTTTTTTTTTCCCAAAAAAAAAATTTTCCAAAAAATCCGAAAATGTGAGGAAAGGAAAGTTTGGATTCATTTTTGTATTTTCCAGATGTAAACAACATTGAGTTAAAAGGTGATAAAACTGTGAATTTAAAAAAAAAATAAATAAATTACACAGCACATTTTTAACTGTTTTTATATGATGCATTACTCATTAAGGTTGGAATCGCATCCTATTGATTGACCCTAAAAACAAAAGCTGTTCTCTGTGTCAGATTGCGTTTTTGCAGCTTCTCCTCTCAAATGGCATGAAAATTTGTTTAATTGAAGAATATTATCTTTGCTCCACTTTACTTTTAAATAATTGCTTAAAATATGCAGAAAACATAATTCCAAGTACCTCAATAAACTGCTCAGCAGGTGAGGCAGCTAAGTATTGATCATGTTGGTTTGCATACATGAGACAAATGGAGAAAAAAAGAACATAAATCATAGTTGCAAAGTCATTTATTGCAAGGATTTTAAGAACATAAATTGTATGTTACTTCCTCTGTTTGGCTAAAATTTCCGTCTTCCGTCATTCCCAGATTATAATCCCAATTTCTGAGACAAACTGAACACAGTCCTGTATAATTTAAAAGTTTGCATGTCTACATTTACTCAGACTGATTGAGCATGTTTCACTGTACAGAATAAGTGAGCTTTTCTGCATTCATAGTAATTTACTTTTGTCTTCTTCGGATCAGATACGGGTTTTGAGTGAAATCTGGTGCAGGTTTGCGTACGACTGCAATAGATCCACCTTCGTTCAGGTCCCTCGTTGGTCCATAAAGCTAATTTATAAATACTGCAACCCGTGACACACGATTCTCTCCGTCAACCAGGAAACACACCATGCCTCTCTTTGGCATTGTAACATCTCCCGTAATACGGCGTTCTCTTTTTAAATGTCGTTTGGTCTTACAAAGATCTTGTTTGTGCAATCAGTGAAACTTTTTTTTTTTTTTTATGCTTTGCAAGGTAAGAATCTTGATGTTTAAGGTACCATTAAAGTAAGAGCTACAAATATCAAGAGCAGTGGGAAAAGTCTGGATTTACATCTTTTCATGTGTTGAATATAATTACGAATCTCAGAATATTTATCTTCTGTATTTTACCGCCAAATTCAGTCTAAATTTGTGTTCATCGCCTGTGCTCTCGCTTTTTTCATTTATTTATTTTATTTTTTTCATTTCCTGCTGAATTTCAACACGACAAATATAAAGATATGTTATGCACCAATATATTACTATGTCAAATATCTTTATATGCTTATAATTACACATGTGGTCAGTATTGTAAAAGATTGGTGGGGGGTTTTTCTACCCATCCTTTTTGTTCAAAAGACAACGATAAAACAAACTGTGCATGAAAAAAAACAATTCTTATCATTTAGAATTTACTCAAATATTATTACGATCCATGTTTTCTATAATAGCAGTACTCCAAAGCTTTGATCTAAACTTATGTGTTTTGTGTGTGAAGATTCATATAATGGAGTGTGCTTTTTACAATGCTTTCCATGTGCCAAATTTCCATTTTGTTCTTCTTCTTTTTTAAACTCTTTGGGGTATTCCTAGAATAGCAGACGTTCCATAAATAAAGAATTCAAAATCCGTGCTTTTCAAGTTTGCTTTGTACATTTTTATTGTCCTTCAGTGTGTATCTGTTGGGTGAGTGTTGACTTTTTTATTATTATTATTATTATTATTATTATTCTGCATCCCTCACTGCTGTAGCTTTAACTCATTACACGGCCTGTTGTTGCCACTGGGAAACAAGCTTGATGTGTTTGTAAAAGAGAATGGAGAATGGATAGACTTAAAGAAAAATAATCCAAGAGGTAGAGATTGGGGTGAGAGAAAGGGGTGATCTTTGACCAACCTGAGGGCTTGCGGGGGAGGGGGAGGGAGTACGTTTGTAAAAGAGGAGGGAGATTCACTAATGAATGACTGGAAACGAGGGAGGAAAGCGGTACGAGGACAAGATGGAGGGAACGGACGGGAATGCAAAGCAACGCTCTGCGAAACGAGTCAGGCAGCTAGGGCAGGCTGTGCATATTTCATGGCTGCCACTTATCATAAGAGCCTTTCCATGATGGGGGGAGCGTAGGTCTGATGACTTCAAGGAAATAACATGCAGAACACGGCCTACATACACACAACCTCGCTAAGCCACTCAAGCTTCTCCTCGCCGGCTCTAAAGCTGCCCTCAATCCAACGTACGAGCCGCTACGCCGCTGCTCTGACTGGCTGCACCGTTCCCCCTTTTTTTTTTTAATAATTGTACCGCGCACCGTTTACTTCCCGCAGCACATTATAGTGTTAACAAGCATGGACACAAATTACATGCGCTGATTTTTGACTAGGCTGTTGTAAAAAGAAACAGGGAGGCTAAAATCTGCAGTGCTGCCACTGCGGTGTTTACAAGACTGGCAAAGGCGAGCGAGGAGTAAAAGTCGTTCATTTGAAGATAAAAAGGGTGCTAATTTGGTTGAAAATGTGTGGCAAGCAAGGTTTGGACGCCATTAAGTTACGGTTCCTGTCTGATTTGTTTAACAATAAGAACATTTTGTTCTCATACAGGGACGTTTTTCTAGAAACCTGCATGTTTAACATTTTTTTTTTTTGTTTGTTTTTTTTACCAAATTTAGGAGCTAAAATGTCAAACTGATCCAGAATTGGTCCAATTTTGTCTAAAGTTGACACAACAAATTTTGCAGCTCTGGTCGGTATTTTCTTTGGATCTTCTGTCTCTGTAGCAGCCAAGTGGGTGATGGTAACGCTCCGGTGGTGTCTAACGTTTCTTACTGACAATTTGGAAAATTGGTAAGAAAAAAGTGATGGTGTTATTTGGTGTAGGACAACTTTAAACTGTGGACATCTCACACCTCTGTTTTTCGGTTTCTGTCTGTGAACGCACCACATTTTACTAAACGTGTGATCAGCTGGTTCCTCCATGGTAAAAAAAAAAAGATTCTAACACATCAGGAAGTTATTTTATGGAGAATCAGCTTCATCTCAGATGGATAATATAGAGGTCCATATTCTGTTTTATGTGTCCTTTATTTAATCGTTCTGTTTTTTCTTTTCTTAAGAAGCTAATCATCCCCTTCCCACATAAAAAAAAACTTCCATACATTTTCCATATGGTAACTTGATTCATGCACGTTGATTGAATCTGTGATGTTTCATAAAAAAATTATCTGGTTCTGTCTGGTAAGCTGAAGCATTATGAATTTTATTGATGATTGAAACAAAGTGAAAAGTTTCTTGCATTAAAAATAGTGTTTTGTTTTTTTGTCTGAAATGATGGACGGTTCACCTTTGGTTAATGGTTTGACATTTAAGAAAATACCACGGCTTGTTGTTGCTCATAGTCAAAGCAGAAGATAAATTCCTCTGTGAATTAAATAAGAAGATGGAAGCAGCAAAGGGCTCATCGATTATAAAAGCTGAAAACAAATGTGAACGGCTTATCGTGTTTTAATAAAATTCTTCTACTTGCTCTGTTTAAGCTTGTAAAAAAGATGCAACATTTGCAGAAGATTTGTTTTGTGGAGACTATGTCCCTGATCTGACACATTCCACTACAATGATGCACATTTTGAACAAGCTATTTTACAAGTGTCCCAGCATTATTAATAATCCAATGTGTTACTCGCTCATCATTGCAACATGTCTTATATTCAGTATATTATGGCTATTTAGACTTGGGTCACTATAATATTCTGATTCTGATGGCATACCAGTTTTGAGTGAAAGCACCATAGTGTCATGATATGGGAACAAATGCTACTAACACCATTAATATCTAACACTAATATTGACTGCATTACTTTTCAGCATAATTTTGTTGTTTACACACATATACAGAGATCAAATTAAACTATTGCTTACAAAGTTAGCATATCCTTCATTGTAGCTTGTTAGCTTTAGACTGGAAAGCATAATTATCACATGTTAGCTAGTCTGCCAGCTGGGTAGGTTTCTGATAGATATGTTGGCAAATGATTGTTTTAAGATGGAGCTGCACTGAACACAACAACGCCTGGTACTTCCAGAGACTTTAACTCGTTAATATCATCTCCTTTTTGGTGTTCAAGTTGTGTCTCTAGTGGCAACTGGACCGTAGCTCACATGAAGCAGTGCAGAAAAGAAGTGGTCAAGGAAAAGCACATTGGCAAGACATGGCGTCTGTTTTCATTTTAGGCATGACATGCCACAGTTTCAGCATCCAGCCACAGTGTTGGGAGCATCGGTCCTTCTTATTAATATGAAATACAAAGTCAATGTGACTATGAAACGTGGCTTAAATGTAGTAGTAAAGAACGCCTTACTCTTGAACACAGCACAGAACCCACAATTTCTAGCTACATACTAGCATCTGTATTTCATCCAGAGTCTTCTGCAACAGTAAATTCCAGCACATAAGCTGCATAAAGTTTGCGTTGGGTTGGATGTAATATTCGGCGTGCACTGCGAGGCGCAGAGCTGCTGTAGTGTGTGATAATTAATTCCAAATGTTGCGGCCCCCAAATTAAAGCCAGTGGCTTCAGCACAAAGCGGCAGCCGCTTATCAGCCCAAAACAGGTCAGCGTTCGATACCGCCTTTTTTTATCCGCCCTCCTCTCCTTCCCACTTCACCTCCCTTCTCCTCGGTCCCTCCCACTCTCTCCCCGCATCCTCGGCGGACGACGTCTCCCGCTAATCCTCTCGTCACGTAAAAGACGTGGACTGGCGGAGGGAGAAAGCGAGGTGGAGGGAGGAAAGTAGAGACTGGCAGTTCCTCCATTAGAGCCGCTGCTTCCAAAAAGCATGGCGACGTGAAAGCTACTTGTGTTTATTAACCGCCTTGCTGCTGTTTACTCTCAGTTTTCTATCTGTGCATCGACACCGAAGGCCTCTGATATTCATCTCACCATCTGTCCGATGCTGATTTAGTTTTTTTTTTTCTCTCTCTCTGTGCCTCGCAGCGATAACTGCAACTGCAGCAGGCTGAAATGGAGCACATTATGATCTGGTCTGCATTGCTGGCAGCTGTATGTACTAATATGTGCATGCATGGTTGATATATGAACGTGCAAATGGTCTTCTTGGGAAATTTAGTGGAGACGTACTGAGTACCAAGCTCACCCATCAGATAATCAACAGCTTTAGCTGCTACCATGAGGAATGAGTGCCGACTAGTCCATGCAGCACTTGCCCCCCCCTCCACTGTTCAACAATTATCAAACCTGTGCAGACATCCAGCCACAAATATACAAAAAGTTATTTAAAATATCTGTGGTAGTGTAGAGTCGACAGGGTAACTGTTGAAACATACGATGGTTTCTGTCAGCATGTTGCTCCACGTCGAAAGGACCAGGTCCGCTCGCTGCTGCATGAAAGAGGGAGAAACTAATTAGAAATGAAGCCCAGCTGTGTTAATTAGTTTCTGTTGGCGTCGTTCCCTAAAGTGTTGCCCCCCCTCATGTCTCCCTATAGCTGAACAAAACACGGCGAATGTTCTGTCAGGATTGATCTCCAGATTCTTCTTTAATTGCTTCCTGGATTTACAAGCACGCCTGGACGTTCACATCACCTCCGTCCGCTTACTGTCAAATTGGTCCACAAAGTGCCTTTAGAGACCGACCAGAACGAAGGAGATCGTAGCCAGTGATCCAATCCGCCCTCAGGGTTGCTGAATGGCCAACAGTGGCCAACTCGTCTTTCACATCTTCAGGAATTGGAAAGTTCTTTTAGAGTGGTTCACTTCTTCCTCAAGGAGGCGAGCACGTGCTTTAATATCTAGATTGAGCACTGAAATAAAAATATATATATAAATTAGCGCTATCAAATGTGAAGTCAGAGAATGTCCATGTTGGAAATGTACCAAAGCAAATTTCCTGAGTGTGTCTTTCTCTGCTCCCTCTAGAGAGAGAGGGTTTTAGGCGGGAATGCCACCGTCTCCTTGGTAGCGTATTCAACCCCTATAAGCTGCAGCTATGACAGGATGACGGGCCTTGTGTGTTTGAAAACGAATCGAAAGGCTGCAGTTTTTATTGACTGCATTCAGGACGCCCTGCCCCTCCCCCTTCCATTTTTTCTTCTACACCACATGCCTACTGAGGCGAAATGTGCAATGACACTTTCCTGTCCAGGAGAACCCTTCTGCTACTACTGCTACACAAACATGTTTCCCTCTGAGTCACAGTTGTCCACAGTCTCTCGAGTGTTTCTCTCTCTCTCTCTCTCTCTCTCTGGATTTTCAGTATGTTGCCTTGGAAATTCTCTCATGTCCTCATATTGCTCTCAGTATTTACATTTCGTGATCTTTTGTGTGTGGGATTCCCCCTTATGTACACGTATCGACCCCATCATCAGCTTCTGAATGCTTTAGTTTTGAGAGTATAGCACAAAATCCAGGTGCCACCTTTAAATCAGTGGTGCCTAAAAATCAAAATGTTTTTCTGTTACATTTGGATGTAAACAGTATTTTTTTCTTTTTCTTTTTAAAAGACTCACAGATCCATCCGCACTTTCTACTCTGACTTTGCTCAACGCAAATCCACCGTGTTTTTTGAGTAAAAATGTAATGACATGTAATGTCATTACATAAAAAAATTTAATGAAAAAGTTTAACTTGAACGAAGAACTTTGCACTACATTGCGTTAGATTAGATTTTTATTATTCTTTTTTTTTTTTTTTTGGTATGATGTTTTACTATCATAAACAAAGGAGGTCATGGATCTATAGTGCAACTCTCAAGTTCCCACTTCAAACACCAAAGTACTGCAGTTACGCTAAATCTTCTTCAATGTCGAACATCTTTTTGGTGCCTCAACATGATAATATTTGTCACACAATCTAAACACTGATGTTGTTGGTCGTGTGTTTTCCAAGGCCTCCACAGAGAGCTACCAGGCGTTATAGAGGTAAGTAATGTACAAGTGCCTTTCCTGGAAATACATGCAATTAGTAGCACTTTATGTTGCGCTAATGCATAATGTTCTGAAACTTTTACGCTGGTACCGCTGACACAATTAGACGTCTCTACAGTCGAGACATATTGGCAATACATGGATTTTAAGTTCATCATATATATTTAACTTATAAATGTTTTTTAAATATGAATAAAATATTAAGACGTGGCCCAATGTGTGTGTGACAAAGTATTTCAATGCTTGAAATAATGTAGAATATAGTAGACGAACCACAATTGGCTTTTTTTAAAAGGTCGACAGAGTTTTTTAAGAGCTGAAACACAAATCATGTTGGTCACTCTCTGAGAAAACAAACGAACAAAAGAAACTGGGAAAAACAATTTACGACAACATGCAGAGCTTGGATGATCAAACTTGGTCCCAGTTCATTACTGAAGATGTGAACTACTAACCATAACCTTGAATCATGACACCTAACTTCAGACCTTTTTTCTCAGCTTTTCCCCATTGCTTACGCATGAATAGAAGCAATAGAAAACTCCTTTAGGGCGCAAACTGACAGACGACTTGTGTCAGGTGGAGAGCCGCGCTGCTTGTATTAAAACCCGCAGCTGAACGACGTTTTCTGTCGCACCCTGATGTCAAACACCGATTCACACCTGGAGGTTTTCTCCTGTATCTACGACACCAAGCGTGACTTTAACAGGACCGGCGATCTGTTTTCTCACTCTGGGTTATGTCTTGGTGTGTAATTTCATCGATTCGTGCTTTGAAACATTTCTAATTCAGACATGTGAGGTGTGGATTTTTTATTTATTATTTTTTTTGGTTTTTGCTGAAAGCGCATTACGACATCGAGCAAGATAAATGCATACGTTTGTTTTTGCTCGTAAGTTGAAATCCCCAGATAGCCTAAGCACTGAATCTTATCCTTATCATGCTTTACAAACATCTTGTTTCGTCCGGTGGTAAGATGGTGCTTTCACCGCAGTGGGAAAAAAAAAAGTCTGCAGTTTTGTTATTAATATGATGAAATGAAGCATTTACTGTTATAAATGACTGATGGTAGTGGATTGAAAAGAAGAGCGAAATAACTCAAAGAAACTTGGTCACAAAAGGACAAACTATTTCTTTCCGTTGTACTACATGTACTGCCACACAGTTTAATGTTAAGTTGACTGGTTGAAATCTTTGTTTTTTTTGTGAGCAAAAACCTGAACAGAGATATGTTGGAGTCAGGGAAAGGATCAGTTCCCGTAACGATCAATGAACTTCCTCCTGGACTGCATCCATGTTTTCAACATCTGAACCTGAAAGAGTTAATCCAACATGCTGTCACCGTCTGCAGTGTAATTCTACAATTTAAGTTTTATTTTTTAATGACGTAAAGCACTTTGAAATGCCTTGAAAGGTGCCATGCAAATAAAATCTGATTGACTGATAAGTTGATAATCCACTCTGAGTTGCTTAACGGCACTTTGCTCTCTCCTTCCCATACATTTCATTCCATCCCTCTCCAAAAATGTTTCCATTTATCTTTTTTACACTGTTGTCTCTCCACTTCCTCCATCGTTGCACCATCCACAACTTTCAAAACCCACCCGCAGAGAAACCGCCGGGACACCTGCAACTTTGACAAGGAGTTCACCAAGATGGCCGTGGACCTGACGCCGACGGACAAGCTGGTCATCATGAACCTGGACCAGGACGAGTTCCTCGGCTTCTCCTACACCAACCCCGAATACGTGGCTCCTAATTAACTTAACACACTAGGATGGACTCAAACATGCAACACAGAGAGGTAGAAAATAAGGTTTTAGCACAAAATTGAGGCAAAAAAAAAAAAGACGACAAAAATTGTTCTTATTTCGTGTGTGTTCACCAAATGTTTATTTTTTTTCTTTTCTTTTAGGCATTACTTAGGTTTGAGTTAATAACTAATCTCAGAGATTTGGAAACGAGACAAAGATTCCAATCTCTCCAAACGAAATCTGACCAAACCCAAAATGAGCACTTCTACTACTGATCCAGTTCTGATTGCCACCTTTTCATGTATTCATTTCACGCTGATTGCAAGAAAAAAAACAAACAGATTTTCTTGAGTTAGTCCTCGTTGTTTAAACACAACAGTTAAAAGTGCTGGTTTTATTCGATCCGCTCATTCAACCTTTCCCTCATTTAAAATGATCAGGTCTTAACCACAGCGTAACTAATGTGCCATGATGTTAAGGTAGCTATGTAAAGTTTTGTATGTTTTCATGTCCTTGTGTAAATAAATGTACAGTGGTCGACTTTGTATCTACTGAGAGAAACATCCATGGTTTTAAGAGTCACTGTCCACAGTCGTTTTTGCAGCCGTTCAAAGGCTTTTCCTGAAATGATCCATCCAGTTTGGCATCATGAATGTATTAATATTTCACTCGTTAGGCAACATCTCAAATGTCACTCACCCCGTTTCATATTCGTCTTGTTGAGTGCGGCGGCATCGCTTTCTCTAGCTTACAGCCGTTCCCAAAACTATGCCCGTATTTATTTAATCGTTCTTCTTGCTGGATGTAATTCGTTCTTCAGCCTCAGCCAGGTTTGTCGTGAACTGGAAGCTGGAGCGACGGCAACAGACGGCAGAAATTGTGAGATGCTTTGACAGCATCCGGTGAGTAATTTCGCAAACGGCAATACGAGCAGCATTGCTGCCATTTTTTTTTTTTGTTATTTTGCTTTTATATATATTTTTTGTTTTTATGTAAGCATACTGTGCCTTGCAAAAGTCTCCATTCCCCTTGAGATTTTGCACATTTTGTCATGTTAGAACTACAAACTTATTTTATCAGGATTTCATGGGATAGGCCAACACAAAGTTGTGTGTTATTGTGAGGCGGAAGAAACTGCATACGTGGTTTTTAAATGTTTTACTGATAAAAAAAAAAAACTTATTAAAAAAATGTGGCGTTTATTTTCACTGCGAGTTGTTTTGACATTGTCTGTAGGAGATCGTCTAGTGGCTGATTCTTTAAAGATGGAGGGATTCTTCTTTTCTTTTCAAAAAGCTGAAGCCTGGTCAGACTGAATGGATTTGAGTCTGGACTTTTTCTGGGTTATTCTAACATTTGAGTGTAGTTTAAACTCCTGCATGGATTGTGGAAACCTTATGCCTTTCTTCTCTCTTCTCTGCCATCAGTGTTCTTCGTTCGCCCCGTTTTCTCTAGCAAACCTCCGAGGCCTTCTAAGACATTTGATAACAAATTGAATTAAAACAAAAGTTTTCTGGTTGCCTTGGATTTCATTTAGGAGCATTAGATTAGAAAAAAATTAAAATGCATGCACACGTTTTAGACTTTGTTTTTGAAAATGTGGGAAAACCATGCAATCTGTTTTGTTTTGTTTTCTTCTCAGCTTCACGATTATGTACACCTTTGTGTTGGCAAAGTCCTATTCAAATAATTGCAAGGTACCACATGTGTATCTACTGCCAAACTGTTTGATTTTGTCAAAAAAAAAAAAATGCATTAGAAACCATATTAAAAATTTAAGAAAGTCAAATTTCTATTTGCAAATCAGATTTTTTTTAAACATTATGCCATCTAACAAACTAAAACAAAACAAAAGAAATCACAGAGTCTGAGCCTAGACTAAATTATTTAAAGATATTTTTTCAATTCAACGCAAGCCGTTTCCACATGTGTGCATTATAAATACCATGTGCCATTACCGTTCACACACCATCAAAGTGTTTCGTCTTTTGGATGATTTAAGCCTACGTTTGTTTCGCTCGGATGTCGAACCTGTACAAAAATACCGTCGGATACGTGCAGTGACCTTTTACAAGCTTTCAGCTGTACATTTTGTTCTAGTGTAAATATCTACCAACGTCAAGACCCTTAAGCTCTCTTCGGTTACCCCCCACAACGTAATATTTATTAACACCACCGGCTCAGTGGACTTACCAAGTACGAATCAGATCATTGCTCTGTTTATTTCTTTAATAAAAGCGTAAAACCGGACAAATGAAACAGAACGAGTCTGAATCCGAAAGCTGAAACAATCAACCAGTTCTTGGGGATGTTTGATTACTAGAAGTGCACTATGCATGCATGTGATAAACTTTCTATTATCTTGTTCCATACAACATGGATTTAATTCTTTATTAGATGTAGGGTGTGCAATAAACGCTTTATAAGAAAAGAGTAGATATAATTTGTGTTGCTGACTCTATGATATGATAATTATGCTACTTACTCACAGATGTGAAAGGACTATGCCCGGCTTGACTTGTACATATAATCTGCTTCTGAACGCGTTGGAGGAAGAGTCTTCCATTTCTCAACTTGTGTTTATGTGCAGGGATGCTGGTGCGCCTAGAGGTAAAAATGGGATGTTTATGCAGAATATGAGTTTGCTTCCCAACCACAAGAGCTCTGTCCATTGGCTGGATTTTCTCTGCATCTCCTTCTCTGTTCTGTTTTCCAGGCCTTTTCTCTGATCAAACCTTTCAATCTGTTTGTTTCGACTTTTTTTTATTCCTCCTTCCTTCTTCTCTTTCTGCTTTCTCCTTGTCTCCTTTTCCCTGGCCTTTCTCCCTCTCTGCAGGTTTCTTTTTATTATTATTATTATTTGCAGGTTTCTTCGTTTTGGTACTGACCTACACTGTTGTATCTTTCTTTTCCCCTCTCCTTGATTTGCCTCTATTAAGGCTGCTCACCGTCAAAACCCACTTCTGATTAGGTATCGCTAAGTTGGCGGCCATGTTTTAAATTCTGCTTGGATTTCTAGTCGAGGTTACGATCATCACAACATTTGTTCCCTGCACCTGAAGATGATTCTTTTTCACGAAAGTTACTGTAAGAGAATGTGTTTTGTGAAGCATTTAAATGATAGGAAAATATGTGTTGTCATGTTTTGGGGGAGGTTGTAAAATAATAAATTACATTGAAAAAAAATCTCACTGACTATGTTTTGTTTCATCCATATAATGATTTTTAAATGGGTAATTGTACATGTGTGGCGATAAGACAAAGTGAGAAACTTATGAAAATTATAGCTGAGTTTTATTGCTGGTAAAGATAATTTAATAAAGGTTCACTTTTTGTTTTTCCAATGTATTAACTGTTATGGAAACCATTTTTCCCCCATATAATAAAAGATAAAGCAACAGACATTTCCACATCTAACATGAAAGAAAAAGAAAGTGGGGTAAAAACAAATTGATCTAAAGTACACCATATTTCTTAGGTTGCAAATATTTTCTATTTGTATTTCTAAAATTTCTGGGTAGTTCATTTTTTTCTCCACTTTTATTGTAAGTTTTTGTGATCGCTGCCTAAATATTAATGGTGTAGAATTTGTGTGTTGTATTGTTTTGCGCTCCAGGGATCTATTAATTATTGATTTGCCACCCAAGATAATCCCAGAAAGCATAGCTATTCATATATTAGTAACAAATAGCCTTTTGGAGTTGTAAAACATTCATTTTCACCTAATTCAATCCAAAACTCTGAATATGACCAGAGTCTGCAGAATACGTCAAAAGAAACATCTTTATTACAAAAACAGGTCTTGCAAAGTTCTCCGATCAAAAGCGACGTAATAAAAAAAGTTTTAGAGATTGTAAACATTCATTCCACAAAGCCTAAAATATTCCACTTTCAGGAAAAGATATCTGGGTTTGTAGTGAAATCCTTTCCAAAATGTCTGAATTGGAGTTTCTTTCTTGCACAAGTATGGCTGATCTAAACAAACCTCTAATTTATTTCATTTACTGCATCTTAAAAGCGCTCAAGAGGGGAGCATGACGGTGCAGCTTATTGGATTTATTTCACACCGTCTTATTTGCTCGCCCTCTCCTTTCCCTATCTCTCTCTCTCTCTCTCTCTATCTTTGACTTTTGCAGCACTACTGTCGCTGCCGTTAAGCAAACATATTTCACGTTTCTTCACCTCGCTCTTCATGAGCCGGTCTCTGCTTTTCATTCAATTACACGCAATCGCACCAAAAAAAAAGTTTCAAACGCTGAAGGTCTTACTGTCCGGTTCTCTGGTTTGGCTGTTATTTTTAAACCCTAAAAGCATCCCGTTTTTTGGGATTTTGTGACGTTATCTCCAGTTAAAACCTGAAAATTCAATGGATAGTAATCGGGATTTTCAGTCACTGACATAGCTTTAAAAAAATACAAGTTTTAATAGCAGAAAATATACGTAGGTTTTCTGGAGACTGTAGATACAGAATGGAGAGTTTTTCTTGTTTTATAAATGTAAGGAAAGCTGTGAGTTTTCCTGTGAAAATGGGGTGAGAGCCAGGTCACCAGGAAGCTGCGGTGAATCCATCCAGCGTAAAGACGGAATCACCAAAATCAAAAAATTGGAAGCACCGTCAACCAGATGTTGTTAGATGTGCGATGGGAAAGAAGCAGGATTTTACATTTAACTTTTGGGAGCTATTCACTATTTTCAGTTAACTCCAGCAAAATAGCTGTTGACAAGTTGTTGTTTTTTTTAGCTACCACAAAGTCATAAAATGTGCCTTACTTTTATAACAAACATAAACCAATGCAATGCTCATGCTCCCTGACCTATTCCTTGGGCTCTCCGTCTGCAGAGACGGCATA